TGTCAGTGCAGCACTTTTACCAGATGATGTCACCATCCAGTGCAGAAAAGGTTGAATCAGATCCCACTTTTTCACCACATGGGGCTGTGTCATTTTGCCAGAGCACCCTGTGGTGCTGGGGCTGGCTGTGGCAAACGCAATCCCTCCATGAACAGAGAGGGCTGCGGTTTTTCAAAGCTTTGAAACTCAGTCTGAACACTCGCTTAGACACTTGAGCTGAGCAGGACACACACACATAAAACACAAGCTCTGTGCTAGTGTGGAGGTAGTGGGGTGCTATTTGGAGTGTCTCCACTCGATTTAACAGGGAATGAGGGGGAGCAGGGGGTACCCAAATGGCTTGCATGGGAGCTGGTAATGAGGATGGCATGCTGGCATTATCGTTACAGAGCACAACAACTCTACATGGTCTCTGTGCCCAACTGACAACAGGCCGCACACACACACCATGCTACCTGCCACTAATTAAAACATATAGATTAGAGAAAGTGCAATCAGGTACAGGGGGGCTCATACACACACTTACACAACACACAAACATTCACACAATTGCAATTAGGCTGGTTTTTACTATTGGAATAAATGACCCACAAATTAAACAAGTAAAATTGTCACCTAAAAACATCTGTCATCTTTGACAGCATTAGGCTTTAACTATGTATAAATAAACATATTCAAAACTATGGATTTGTATTGTATAAACAATTAACACAGTTCACTGACTGACTCAGTAACAGCACGTTTTGCTATGTCAGGAAAAAAACTTCAGCTGAGACTGATTATTTTGTCATTAACTGATACTCCAGGTAAGCAAATGTAGTTTATGGTCTCACATCAACAATGCATAAATGCACCCACCAGTCAATTTTCAGTTAACCAGCTGCTTCTACTCCTAAAAATATATTCTGACAATACCGTGACATTATATCAGATTGTTTAACATTGCTCAAAGAAGCTATTTCTTTTCATTTTTTAATTTCCCACTGTGCTTCTAGGCACACCATGCCATCACTTTTTATGTAATACCTTCCCTTCTTATGTTGCTCTCAATGAGGGAAATTATTCCAGCATAAAACTGCATGTCTCATATTTTTTTTGGTTCCTGTTCCTTTATCTCTAATGGGCAATTACTTCAAACTCAATGCTGAGGCCATGTTATTGCACCAACCTGCAATTGATTGGTTTCCCATAGTACTCAGCTTCTACAAGCACTTTAAGGTTAGATTTCCCTGTTTAAATAATGGATTACAAGCCTGTGAAAAGACACTGTGTAGAAAATAAAAGGTTGAGATTGCGCTTATTGGAGGGGCCTCCCACTGACTATGAGAGGGGAACAGACTCCATACAAGTCTCCAGAGAGTAAGCTAGTGATGAGAGCTGGAAATGGCAAAATCATCCGTTTCTCTCCTTCTGTCTAGCTGCTTTTCTCTAAGTGTGCAGGAATCTACACACGTTGGTGCATTCGTCATGTGTCTTAGGGTCAACCTACACAACATTTTACAAGTTCATACTTCTTTCTGTTCGGCTGCACACTAACATAGGCAGTTTTTCATACCTCCATTAATGCTACATTTCCAACAAAGAGAAAGAGAGAGAGATGTCAAACCTAGCACAGCAGGAAGTCTACTTTCTGTAGGTACTTAGAGGAGGAAACCAGGGGGATTGTGGGAATTAGTGGAAATATACATCTCACCCTCTGTTCAAAGAATCTTTGTAGCGCTGAGCCTTCTGGGGCACACTATGTGAACGTGCCTGTGTATATTTGAGGAGTTTACAGCAGTGCCAGTGCCCGGCTATTAACACAAGCCACAACAAGCCTACTACCAACACTGCTCTGAGTATCTATAGGACTGAGGAAATTCTGTGAAGAAAAGATGGATGGGAATAAAAAAGAATGAATACGCATCAAGTCTGCAGAGCAGAAAATACTCATCCATTAAAATCTGTTTGCATTAGAGGAATGTTAATGTTGTTTGGCTTAACTGATATAAAATTCTTGTACTGCTTTGCTTTACATGTTTAACCTTCAGAATGTATTTACATTATTACACAGTACTTTATACTAAGATACAAGCACAAAGTAAAAATAAAAATCTAACTAACTACAAACATACAGCATTGTCAACTCAAACATGTTTGTTATTATAATAACTTTAACTTAAAAAGAAATCTTCATGAGAGTGGTTTTATTACACCAAAGTACATTTAATAAGGATAAAAACAGAAAATCCATGGTCTAGTTATATATTAAAAACACAAACTTTGTAAGATTTTGTTTAGTCCAAGATTATATCAGGTATTCAGCTTGTTTAGAATATTTCACCACTCATGTTCTCTTGAAAAACTGAGTTACAGTAAAAATTCACAACAGGCAAACAACTGTTAAATGGAAACAAAAGATAATAATTATTTTTTAAAAATGGTAAATTCATTTACCTGTGAACAATGTCAAACACAGCTGTGAAGAGGTGTGAAGTTAAACCTTCCAGTAATGAGCTAACTAACAGCCAACCAACTTTTTTTCCTTGTCATTTTAATTTGAAAGTCATTCAGAATAATATGTGCATGTTTTCATGGAAGTGTATGCAAGTGTGTAGGTGCGTTTTGCGTAGGGCAATGCAAGAAGGATACAGTCGTCACTGTCACACACAGTGTGCTTTGTAGATATGTGGCACTCTCATATCTGTTTATTGATCAGAGCAGATGGGCGTCAATCAATCTTATCTAGGCTGCACACACTCTCCAGCTAACCACCAGAGGCAGGTCAACCAATACTACACCACACTGAGAGCCCCAAGCCCCTCATATTATCATCTGGCACCTTGAGGAAATTTTTTCCTTTGTGTGTGTATGTGGGTGTAAGTATGTTCGTGTGAGTAACCAGGTGCAGAGCGTAAAGGTGCATTAGAGGACAGACAGAAGAGAAAGAAAGTGACACGTCGAACTAAAAACCCAAATTAACCTCTTCTTTACGTGTGTGCTATCAGCTGTTCCTCTGAACTCAGTCTTCCACACAACATGCCGAGGTAAAATCAAACCTCTTGCCATGTGTAGAGTAGGCTGCACAGAAGGCTGGCATTCACTACAGATTACGAATCGATGTTAATGTGCCGTTCTAGTACGCTGGGAGGTGGATGTGCTCAAAGAACAAGTACAGCACACCGTGCTCAGCAAAACTCATAAAACAAAGTCAATTCAGCCCATCCAGTGATGCAGAAAATCTGTGATCAAGGTATGCTGATGCCTTATTATATGCAAGCTTAAAATAGAGCAAATTCAATAGCCTGTCTGCAATGAAGCCATTTGTTCTATTATGAGTAGTCCATCATTTTAAAAGAGAGTGATTATAATGATCATGATAAACAAGGCAAAGAAATTAGGGTGCTTACAACTAGCAGAGGTAACACACTCAAAAGCAAATGTATTTAGTTTTACTTACCTCGACATACGTTGCCATTGTCAGGTTCAAACCCTGCCTTGCATGTGCAGCTACCAATAGGCACCATCCACTCTCCGTCTCCATTGCAGTAGAGCTTTATAGGGACATCTACCTCTTCTGAATTGGGGATGCAGATCCCTCTGGCAATTACCAGGGATGTGCTTTCAGCCCCTGTCATGGTTTCAGGAAAGATTGCAAAGTTCTGTACTACACTTGGGCACTTCTTGTAAAAGACCCGAACTGACAGCAGAGACATGCAGGCACCATAGTCCTGAAAAGCCAAGTAGAAGCCGTTTTTAGATAGTGGACCAAAGCTCCGCACCTCTGTGTTGACCTTCATTAGGCGTCCGCCAAAGTCCACCTGTGAGAAGCTTTCATCTGCAGCTATGGTGTCCACCTTGAGGTAAGGGGCCTCCATCCAGAATGCTGTGCCTTTGGTGGCAATGACAGCATCAGTTTCATAGTAGTAAAGATTAAACGTCTCTTTGCAGGAGCCAGGAACATTTGGGATGGAACTGCAGTCACGCACGGTGAATCGAATTTCCACGTAGATGCGCTGTGCTCCACGACGATCAATGAAAGTGGTGAGAAGCCAGTTGTTTTGACTGGGCTCGAAAACATTACACACCTGGTATGTCCGGATGGTGTTGAGGTTCTCATCATAGCCACTCACCTCCTCCCACTACAGAAAGAGAAAGACAGTGAAGAGTGTACATGGCTAATTAGCAATCATCTGTGAGAAGACAATGTTAATATTGGCTGAGCCACAGAAAGTTTGTACACATATCAGTAATCTCCCTAAGGTACAGTCTTCTTCCTGGATTAACAGAAAGGAATCAGTCTGTTTAACAGTGTGGTTTATCATCCATCCTTTGTCCATTGAGAATACATAAATGTCTTTTTTCTGAATCATAAACAGCCCCTTAAGTGCAGCAACAACAAAAACACCACTTTGTCTTGTTCTCTAAATACGCTTAACAGCTGTAGTTTGTGTATTGCCACTGTAAAAGCACAAACAGTAATTACTTTGGATGCTGCTATTTCCCATCTATGCTGAGCATGGCTGGGCACCAAGTTGATGCATTATAAACTATGGTGTGTAGCAAATTAAAGATTATGCATTAAAGACAGACGGGGACTACTACATGGCAGCCAAGAGCCAGTCTGACATAAAGGCATTTACATGCAGAATGAACTCATGTACACTGCAGGCCTTTTCTTGCAGGTGTGACCCACAAAGTATGTTGGATGAGCTTCAGAAGCCCCTTATGGTATTAAACTCAGTGCACTAAATCATGATGAAAATGTGCCATTAACATTTGGCTTGAATCACTGAGAACAGGGAAGAGAAATCACTGAAATAAAAAAGAAGCTTGGCTAGAAGCTTGTTTTCAGATGGCAATTTTTTCTGAATAAATATCTTGGCTGAGCAAACACTGATGATGGTTAAACTGTTAAAAGACAGAATCTCTACTGATATTTTAAACATGATACTGTAAAGCTATGTTAAAAAGGCCTATGTCATAGTCTGGCACGGAGCAGCAGAGTGGACAGAAAGAATCAAAAAGGCTGTATGCACTGAAATGGTCACATCAAAGCCCAGCTGACTTGAAATTCACATTTTGTACAATAAGGTGGGTGATTTGAAACTGTTTTTTTTTTTTTTGCTTTTTAATTGTCTGTAATGATACCATTCTTTATGCTCCTATTTGAAGCAACAGCTTGGCTCACAAATTTCTCCAAATCCCCCCCACAAACAGTCCAAACAGCTCAAACAGCTGTAGGCAAAAGGAAACTAATGAGGTCTGTAGTGGAATGAGTAGGCCTCCAGTTAGTTGTGTGCTTATATCTCTTGGTGCTTCCTCCGTCTTCTGACCTTTAACACCCCAGCTGCTCAATAAGGCCTTATGGAGAAGAGAGGACATTAGCCCTCCATACACAGACCCAACAACCATGATAGTCAATTGATGACTCAGAAAACATTAGACGGATCAATAAAATGATGTGAGATGACCCTTGTCTTTGCGGTGCGTCCTGCACCATTGGCATTAGTCAAGTCCTGTAGGTGGACTTTCATGTTGTTGAACAGTGGCAGGCCTCGTTGGCAAGAGAGACCACTCTGATTGGCTGATCAGCTAAGCAAATCAGTGCACAAGAAGAGAACAGTTTGAGAAAGTCCCATGAGCCTGTCACTGTACTATCCATGAATTCAACAATTTAGTTCAGCTTCTTCCACAACCAAAAGACCAAGGCCAGAGAACGCCAGTGCCATTTGCAACTTCTTATCAGACATATTCTTGATTAGAGTCAGGTATAAACAGCAGGTGTATTTAACTAGAGATGCTTTGTTTACAGGTTGTACTGCATTTCCCCTGTCTAGCTCTTCTTCTTTCCCTTTCTGAATGGCAAATACAGATACCACCACCTGCTGGTAAGGGGGGCTATTTCTCTCACATACATGTTAGGTTGTTGACTGTAGTCTGTACGGTGTGTTCAAGTGCCACTTTTTCAATCAAACTGGCCCAGACAAATGTGAGTCGACACAACAGTTGGTCTACGTCACTGCTAGTTCTTTCACATCGGCTCGGTGTGTCTCTGCCCTAAGGAATATGTCAGAGAATCTGGAAAGGAACAAATAGGTCTGGGTCAAGTGGGGACAAGGAGAGGGCGGAGGGTGAAGACACATGGAGAGCAGTGACACTGCTGATGTGATAAACAGGTTTACAGAAATCTGAGGTGCAAATTAAAGCCTTTTTTCGTCACTGCTCCCTCTGTGCCGGCTCCGCTCTGCCCTCTCTGTCCTCTTTCCTCTTGTCCCCCTTCTGCTCTCTTCTCTCATCTCTGCTCTGTAATGACCATTCATCAGCATTACAGGAACCTGTCCCTTTCAGCACTGCCTGTTCATTAATACAGGCCCTAGGCTTCTCTGCAGCCGTCTGCTCCAGTCTAGGAGGGGGGTCCTCACCGCCCCTCATCTGGCCAAATGACCACCATCTTTCATTGCAGAGAGGCACCCGAGGCGTCTCCGATAAAGCCCATCTGAAATCTGTCCAGAAATTCATTGGCTCAAATAATAATGAACTACAGTTTTTATATTTCCTCCTTGGTACATATTCAGTTTAACCATTGTGAAGACAAGCCTGACTATTCTAGGTGCCTCACTAGCAGAAATCAGACTTTTCAACACATTCTCTCTGGTCCTTAAAGTGCTTCGTATTCATCTGCTGTTTACGTCTATGTGTGCTGTGAGAACATGCTGTTTATAATTTGATGGTTTACCGACCACATATTGATTTGCTGGCTGTTTTTCTGCTGAGGAGCTTGAGGCCAACACACATCAAAAGATTTGATTACTTTTTCATTTACTCTTTATTAACATTCCTATCCATTCTTTAGCATCTTTTTCATTTGCCCTGGGTCCAACAAGATGGAAATGCCTGTGACACTCGCATTTAAGAAGCAAGAACACAATCTATGTCAGCAATGCACCCCCTACAGTCACATCAATTCTCTGCCTGGGTTTTCTATTCCTATACCTTTGCTCTTTCATAAACCTTTTACATCATTTAAATCAAATCTATATCCGACACTACTACATGACACCTTTCTGACCTTGCCAGAGTAGTGAGAAAAGAGACAGCATTGTCACCTCTCACCTTACTGATAATGGAATTCCCTGGTCATTGCATTCATTTCCTCTTCAAGGATTTGTGTATGAAATAACACTGACAGCTCTGCATTGTGTATACTCAGTCCATGCATTATGGTGCTAAACGCAGAAGTATGCTCATGGCATGTATCATTCACATCAGCTCAAGGTGTGAAAGTCATTATCTTTATGTTCCAAAGTGCTTTTCCTCTTTTGTGCAACCACATGTTTTACCTCCTGCAGAACTCAGTAGTCTCTCTGAGCTATAATTCAGGCGATAAGAGATAATGCTCTCTTTATGGCAGTCAGGTAGGAAACCACAGAGCAATAGGGGATGTGGATAACATCTTGATGAAATGGAAGTTAGGGTAAAAACAAAAAGAACATAATGCTGGCATTTAGTTATATAAGACTGACTGGACTAATCACTTAGAAGAGTCTTATGAGTTTCTATCAAGCCAGCATTCTGTCAGTTTTACTGTATATATTTAAAATGTATACACTATACATTTTACCAGTGTCACTGACTGCAAACTTTCTTGCTGATGAAGCGCCAGACAAATATTGAGAGCCTCTTTACACAGCCCCCATTTTAACGCCAACCAAATGTATGCGCTGGCTCCCCTCTAATAGCTTTGTTGTTGCCACTAATACAGGAGATCCTCTTCCCTTGCCCCCGATTGTCAGGTGCAGCCATTGTATGTGTCATTATGGCTGCTCTGTTTTACGAGCAGTAGTAAGGAGATGGAGGAGCTATGGATTTACAGAGCACTTAATGTTTGTGTTAATGACCAGTCACAGCTAGCTGAGCTGGAGAAGAGAGAGGGGGAGTAAAGAAAGAGAAAGAGTGATGGACACAAATAAAATGCAGGAATGGAGAGGAATCAAGGAGAATGGGGATGCTGTAATATATTCAGGCTGATGTTCTCCTTCACACAGACTCAGTTTACTGCCGTCATACCATCAATACTCTGCCCTCACAAAGACCATTCTATCTCCTGCCATTATCTTCAAAAGCTAAAAAAGCACAGAGCAGCTGAGATGGCTACAGTCTTGTTCTAGAGGACTACAGCATCCAACAGTGAGCTAGGGACAAGTAGAGCCCCAGTCACCGAGCTGAAAGGAACATGGATGTAACACCTGTGAAGAATAACAGGAGAAATGTCTGGACTAACAGGTCATTTGCAGCAGACATGGTGGGAACAGGACAGGAGTTACCATAAGCATGCTGCAAGATTCTTGTCAGGCTTGATACTGCTATACAAAAGCTGCATAGAAGAGGGCTGAAAACAGCACTAAACATCATATAATGTCACTTGCTTTTTAACTGAAGGAACCTTAATGTATTGTAGTGCTGGAGCTGTATTTCATGTGCCCCAAAGTCCTGACCCTGTGGGTTGTACTCCCTGAAAATTTCTCAACAAATTTTGCAGAAGTGATCATTGCTGATTGGTCAAATACAAGCCTTGGAGCTACTATAACTTGTTTACAGCAATCATTCACACAGTAATTAGCAGTGGGTGCAAGTGCTATCACTGTTATGAATAGGAACGAACACATCCTGGAGTGTTTTTTTTTTCTATACAAGCAAGGCTAATTAGTAGATTTTTCAAACGTTGAAATAATAAGTAAGATAAAGAGGTAATTGAGTGAGGCAGTGAACCAGAATTCAGTTTTATTTTCCAACTGCTTTAAAGCTGTTGCATAATAAAGTGACCAGAAAACACTCTGAGGATCACTGCTATTTGGGAAACAAATGTGTTGCCTTTTTAGCATTTTCAAATTCTCCCTCTACCTCTGATTTTCTACTTTTGCTTTTTTCTGTGGAACCTCAACAAGAGTGCACAAAAAGGACCTTTGATTCCTAATTGTATTCCTCAGTTTTGTTCCCAAGGCTTCATTTTTTCTGGGACTATATTGTGGTTGGGGGCCCAATGGCTGCCACAGAATACAATTCTGGGGCAAACTATGAGACATATGACTTATGTACTGTAACTCCACCCTCAAACCATCAAAAACACTTGGCAGCAATA